TATATATAAAGAAAGCTCTAGAATCAATGAGTTATCAAAGATTGGCTTCTTTTCGTTCCTTCATTTCTACCATTAAATAACAAAGAATTATACTGTCTTTAGAACAGAACAGATACGGCTATTCCACAGCCACGAAATAAGTCCTGTGTTTTCTCCATGAAACGCACGACGTTTTCCCGTCTTACTTTCAATAAGCGTTTCAGAGAACGGAGCTCCTTTTACTGAGTCCGCTTGCGAGGCACAGCCCGAAGTACATCATCCACACGAAGAATCATTTCTGCCGCCTCTGCAGCGTAGCCCAGGACGGAGCTCTTAACCTTAAATGACTCTGTGATGCGCAGTTCCTTCACGTCAGCCACGTCACCCTTCACGACGTCTATGCCGTAAGTGCTGTGACCCTGGTAGTGCTCTGCCTGCAGCCGTGTTACCAGATCATTACTGTCTAGGCCTGCATTGTCGGCAATGATAGCTGGAAGCATGCGAAGAGCGTTGGCAAAGGCGATCATAGCGAGCTGCTTTTTACCTGGGGTTGTTTTGGCCTTTTCATCTACAGCACGCGCCATCACAAACTCGGAACACCCGGCACCCAGCACTGTCCGTGTCTCGTTGATAGTCTGAGAGATAACACAGAGCGCATCGTGAATAGACCGTTCTGCCTCATCCAGGATGTGCTGTGACGTACCGCGGACCACAATCGTACATGCCTCACCCTTAGGAAGTCCAGAGAATCGGATAACAGTGCTTTCACCAATCATGATTTCGTCAATCTTCTCGGCGAAGCCATACTTGACCTTTTCCGTTTCATCGAACTGGGAAATCACGTCAGCACCAAGTGCCTTGGCGAGTCTCTCAATACCCTCAAAGTCTGCATGTTCAATTGCCATAATGCCGTGCTGGGCGAAAATTTCCTCAGGGTAGTTGTAGATCAGCTGGCGGTTGATAAAGCAGTGTATATCATGCTTGATAATCTTCATGCATTTATTCTTCATCTTTTCCTTTTCCGAGGCCTCAACCTCAGCAAGTTGCGCCACACTATCAACGCGAACTTTGGCTCCAAAAATTTTGATTTTGTCGGTGTCCATGGGGGTATTGGCAACCAAAATCTTCGCATTTTCAAGGCAACGAGGCTGGCCAGTACCAATCTTCTTATCAAGTAAGAAACCAGGCTCAAGGTAGCTGTCGCGAAGTGTACCACCAAGCTTTTTCATGATGTTAATCATCTCAAGGTTCCCGCTTCCCTTCAAGCGCAAAACAGCATCAACGCACAGTTTAGCAAAGTGCTCTTTTTCCACCGTGATAATTTTGGAACTCAGAGTAGTTTTCGCAATGCACAACAAATCATCGTAAAAGAGCTTTTCGTCGTTGCCATGATCCTCAGAAGAGGCAACAAGAGCTTCGCGGGCCACCTGGGCTGCGAGGCGGTAACCTTCAATTATCGTTTGTGGGTGAATCGACTGATCAAGGAGTTTCTCAGCATTGCGGAGGAGCTCCCCAGCAAGCACCGTCACACTTGTAGTTCCGTCACCAACCTCATCGTCCTGAGTTCTGCTCATGTCTATGAGAATTTTCCCAGCCGGATTGTCCATAAAAAGAGACTTGAGGATGGTGGCACCGTCATTTGTCACACGCGTACTCTGAGCACGATCCATGCCCTGCAGAATTTTATCCATTCCCTTGGGGCCTAGCGTCGTTTTCACCATATCTGCAACGGAGACAGCACCCATAATGTTCATGAGACGCGCGCGCTCACCCTTCTCCTCCGATGCCCCATCACGAAGCACTTGCTGAGCCTGATTAGCAAACAACATTGTTACCTTTTTATTTTTGTCGGATTTTCTTTTAACGCAAGCAAGAAGAAATAATAGCATAAAGAAATAAGCAATATCACTAGCAATTTATATTATTGATTTTTTTTGCTATTTCCTGTTTGTATCCACCAACATCAGGTTCAAGTCGACAAACAGGAATTTCACTTTGGTTTGCCTCGGCTCTCGGGCTTCTGGGCTTGTTTCCCTCGTCATACGAGACAATATAACCAAATTCCTCAGAACGCACATAGAATGATACATGTTTCTTCAAGAAGACATGTAAGTATCAAAGATTTCCTTGGACAACATCCATTGATGCATGGTTCAAGTCGCAAATCCTCGTCTTCATTTTATTCAACATGCACAATTACATGCGCACGACGTGTTCCAGCATTAGCAAGCAAAATATTCTTCATGCAATGTTTTACTGAACGACGCACATTGCTGTGGTCTACTAGAGAGTGGGTAGACAACCGTATCGCACAATATGTTGATTCCCGAGGCGCTGTTGAGTGACTCCACGCGCAAAAACTATCCACCGTAGTAACACCTGAAACCTCTTTAATAGCAGAGACAGATTTCTGAAAGAAATCATCCGAATTATACGGCTGACTTGAGAGAAGTAGCACCCTCCCTGTCTCCTCTAATAGTGGGAAAGCTGATATGGCAATAAAAGCAGAGCTCAAAACGCTGCATATAGGATCGGCAACTCTCATACCAGTAAATGCTATAAGTATACTGGATATCATGACACTTACGCTTCCTAATAAGTCTGCCAAAATATGTAGATAAACCCCTCGCAAATTGTGATCCACGAGACCGGCACACTCGCCATGCGAATGAGAATGACCATGACCTTCATGAAAAAACACAATACCCACAACATTTACTAGCAATCCCACAACAGACACGTGTATCAAGTAAGCGGCCTCAATTGCTGGAGGACTAATAATTCGTTCAACGGACTCAACAATAACGTACAACGCGATATATAGCAACAAAACTCCATTTATAAATCCTCCCAAAACTTCATAGCGCGCATAACCGAATGGATGTGTCTTGGCATCACAAGGTAATGATGCAGCAAACGCCGCACACAAACCGATGGCAATAGATGTGGAGTCAAGCATCATATGAAAGGAATCCGAAATCAAGCCAAGGGAATTGGCGGAAATACCATAGAGAAGCTCCAGAATCATCACAGCTCCTGTAAGGAGAAGAAAGCTTGCCAGTTTTCTCTCACGCTCATTTGAAATCACATAGTTGAATGCATTACGAAAAAATGCTGAGTATCCATTCCGAGGTGGCGTGAAGAGCAAATATGGCTCCGTGGACGGCAATCGAAGATCCCGCTTCACCGAACTGAGGGAACAGAGCAAAATAAAGCTCCCGCTTAACGTAACAAGAAAACTCTTCCCATGAAGTTCCCAGGAATAAAAGCCCAAGACGCTAAACCCAATAAAAAATATTGCCCCCCCTATTATACCAGCAGGTGAAACCGTAGCCCCAAAACAAGAGTCATAAAGCGATTTCCCACAACCTGTCATTAAAGAAATTAGTGGGAAAAGTATCCATGGGTAGGGCGAAGCTGAGCTTGTTACATAAGAAGAACATCCCCACCCACAAACAGCCAGCTCCACAGACACGATGACTTGTTCAAGAAACCTACCCCAATGAGCTTGTTCTGATGGGCGTACAGTCTCAGAGAAGCTAACCGCCAACAAGGAGGCAAGAAGCCCAACAATGGCAAAAAGGGCACGGAAATAGTCGCCATTGGCCTCCATTACAGAGCTCCACCACAAGAGAAGTACACTGAGAAAGGAAAGTGCGCCGACCCCCGCCTTCCGCCACAAATTTCCCTCGCGAAAAGACTCTATTTCGAGAATAAACGCACACCAAAGCAAAATACTGCGTAGAGAGCCAATATGCTTTACAGCATACAGTAACGCACAAGAAAAGGATGCTCTCAACGTGCCCCTGAAAACAACCCCAATAACGTGCCAGAAGCCCCACCGATGGGTATCTTTTGTGTTTTCACGGATACGCAAAAGCAGAAACAGTGCTTCTCCCAAGGCGACAAAGCATCCAATCCACAATAGATGAGCTGACGTATTTGCAATGACAAATTCCTGACCAATTAATGAACTCGCCCAGCCACCAGCAATAACCGCGGACACGATGGATCGCTTCATTTTTTTTTCTGCTCGTATTAATCAGGAACGAGGCGGCAAGTGGAAGAAAAAAAAAATGGCCCACACTTTACCCTTCCTTTAAAAACCAGAAGTAACGAAGAATAATAGAGAAAATGTATACTGTAGTTTAATCAAATTCGCCCCGACTAACCGTATAACTATCGCACTTCAAGCAATCCCCAAATGAATATTATCACCGGGCAAATTATTCTCAATAAACAAACACAGGTGCCAACGAAAAGGAGGGGCCGAAGGCGGCTTTTTAAGTCACCTCCTGCGCGGCACGGCTGGGCCATTAAAACCCACGTTTGGTGCCAGCCGTTGGTGAAGAAAAGGCGGAAAAGTAAAATTGTTTCACGAAAAAAAAAATAACAAAGCCCAACCATTCGTTTCGAAAGCCACCGAAAGAAAAAAAAAAAAACAAAGCAGGGCAATTGCAAACAAAAGGCAGAACACGCCCCAGAAGACGCCAAACAGACAGAACACGGCCACCGCCACCGCA